AAACTTCTGAATTCTGAAGTAGGGCAGATAAATAATTATCTAATTAAAACAGCACTGACTCATCTGTGTGGTTGCTCATTAAAAGGCAGCGGCCTACATGTGGAGGTCAAAGTGTCTCGCTAACTCTATCTGAAGAAATTAGTTTCACTGTAGAAACATTGATGAAAGGTTAATAAAATTCATTTTCCCCCCGAAAATAATAAGAAATAAAAACTATAAACAGGAAATTAAGATTTATTTTTAAATGCAACGTCTGTTTCAAGAACCAAACCACGTGTGAATGAGACATGAGACAAACGGGAAGAAGTGAGTGAAGAGAAAAGGTTGGTCTTTTAATCTCTCTGACATCCCTTTGTGGAAAGAAGTAAGGCAGTCAATACAGGAACAATGACAACAATCTATAATATCTAAAAACTGAAGGCAAAATGGTAAATGTTGGCTCTGGGGGAACTTCATCTGTAATTTGCACATTTTCATAGTCTCAGTATTCTTAGAATAATTTGATTATCAATAAATACTCAGCGTCACTCTTTTCAAGTCTTAATATTGATCTTTTATAGATTCCATGTCTACTGAATGGAGGAACTTTTATGATGTGTTGGCTGGAAATGCCAATGTTGCATTTCTACAGTAACACAGAGGCTCAACAGATGAAGCAACGAGCAGTTAAGATCCACAACTGTGAACACTTTGGTTGGAGAACCGTTATTACTGAAACTTTTGACTTAAGTTAAGTTGTTATACAGCAGCCGCCTCATTCACCCCCCAAACAGGCTCATCAGACCTGAGAGAACATTGTGGAAAGTCCTCGTCTGCAACCCAACATATGATTTTAATCAATATAAGTTTGGGCTGGAAACACTGGCGTTAGTTTTTCTGACTCGTCTTCACTTGATCAACTCACCAGTCTTTATCTGACATTAATTCACAGTTATCTGTGAGCCAGAAATGAGGCTGAGGACAATAAAAAACATTCTCCTGTGAGTTCATTTGAGGCAGATAAAGTGTTCATTGTGGCTACGAGAGGTTTGTGTAGGCTTGGAGCGTCTGGACAAATATATCCACAAATGGAGTCCATCGCCAGTTGTTTGCCAGTTATTTGTTGCTGTGAAAAAGGTCTTAGTCTCCCTCCGAATAATGATTGAGAGCCGTGAATTAAGCTTTAAACATATCACCGAACCCATGCAGTAGCTGAATCCTTCTGTCACATCACTTCAAACATTCTGTCCGCTAAAGATGCTTAACAGACCAGTCCAGTCTGAGATACAGTTCAAGCTTGGTCATGAAGAAACACTTGTATGATGAGAAGAAACCCTCCTTCATCACACCCATGTGCCACCCTGTGCATCTTCAAGTGAGGACAAACACAGACAAAAACTTTAAAATCCTAAAACTAGTTCCACATCCATTCAAACTCCATCATCACTGAGCACAGCTGGAGACTCCCCTACTTGTCCTCTCCATCGTTGGGCCTCTTGTATTTCTCCAGAAACTCAGCATGTTTCTGCCGCAGGATTTCTGTCTGCTTCCTAAAACCGTTGGCCCTAAAAAAAAAAAACGCAGAAGACACCTCCAGACTCAACTCCAAGAACCATCCAATAAAAGGCCAAAAAAATATATAATAATTTGAAGGAGCTGCACTCACCTCGCCCTCTCTTTGGACTGATTGTAGATTTCTGTGATGACTCGATCTTTCTCGTCCATGAAGTTATTATGAACTTCTTCCAGTTTCCTGAAAGAGTTGGAGTAACACTTGAATCACAGAATAACTTTGCTTAACCCAAAAACTTGTTGCTCAGCGGGCGCTCTGTATGCTCAGTTTGTATTTATGAGTTTGCACAGCTGTTATAACAGCTCTTCAGATCATCAAGTGAATCTCCACAAACACAAGTGGCACAGAGTCGGTGTGTGAAAACAAATACAAGGACACGAGACATGAGGTTGTGCCAAGACACATGGCACAGACACATGTCCACAAACTGTCCCATTTATCTGGATGTGAACGGGCAGCACAGAGTCCAGGAAACAAGATGGCTGCTGTGGGAAGTCGTGTGTGGCAGAGTTAAAATATCAAGAACAAACAAAAAGAGCTGGTTTTATACCTGAAGAAGATTACGTGGGCTCCGACACTAAGCACCATGGTGATGAGGCAGTAGCTCATCAGGCGGAAGTTCCTCCTCCTCTTCTTCTGCCACTCCTCCGCTGACATCTCCTGTGCATGAGACTGACGAAACTGCTCCCAGTAACGCATGTTCTCCTGGGAGTCCGTACTGATGGTAAAGTAGTTTAAGAAAGATCGTGATTCAAAAATAAGAAGGTGGGACGATGGTACAAATGTTAAAAAAAATGTTTTGCCCAAAGTCAATTTATACTTGCCCTATACAAATTATTTATTTATTAGTGGTTATGAACTAACGACAAAGACCCTCTCAGGTTTCAGTTCCTTCACAAGAACAGCAAGTCCACAAGGCCACAGTCTTCTTGTTGCACAAGAACGTCAACCAATTGAATTTTTTTCCCCACGCTAACAGTTTTAAAGGACGTGGAGGAAGGTCAGACTACGTAAGCGGAATAAGCATAAACAGATTGTGTGTATGTTCACCTGGCTCTGTAGCTGGTGTGACTGGAGGTAGACCTGAATGCCTCGCTCCCGCTGTATGGATGTCTGATTTTGAAGTCATACTCCTTCCTGCTCAGGTCCTTGCTCAGCACTCGGTAGGCCTCGTTCAGCTCCACAAACTGGCTGTGCAGTGCTGGGTTGGAGGGGTCGCTGTCTGGGTGCAGCTGCATGACGACGAGTGGGTCGGTTACAATAATGAAGTGTACAGACCAAACCAACCGGTGAACCGAGAGATATTCTGGTGCAGGCATGTTGCACTAACACACAAAATATTACTTTCTGTGTTAAACACATGCATACATATGTATGGTCTGCAATCACAACAATGCTTTTTCTTTTAAGGGTGAGTTGTATCACCTCTATTCCAAAACCACAAAGGTAAATACACATGCACATCCTTATTTACACAGAGAGCCACAAAATGAAAACAAACAGTCAGGAAGCCCACTGTGGGAACAGTTAAAAAGTAAAAACTTAGTTGTGAAAGGCTGCCCTCATGTGGTCAGATGTTATTTTCTTAAATGCACAGTTTGTTAATAAGTTCTGAGGATCCTACCTTCTTAGATTTGTCAAAAAATGCATTTTTAATTTCCTCAAAGCTCGCATCAGATTTAACTCCCAGAAGATCGTAGTGGTTCACAGCTTTTCTGTGGCGAGAAAGCAAAGAACTCAAAACCAAACAGGCATTCAGACCTGTGCAAAGGAGAGTACATAAACACAGTCACTTAGTTGTGTTCAGTCATTGATTAAATTCAACACACACACACACACACACACACACATATATGTATACATTCAAAGTCTACCTGTGTGCATAGCTTTGGGAGAGCAGGCGCAGTCCGCTCTTGCAGCACCAAAGACAACTCTGACATAGACGCAGCTGAGCCTCCAACTGCATGATGGGAAATATATGAGGACCTGTGCAGACATGACAGATGTTAACATCAGCAATGACACAAAAAATAAAATTCCAGGAGATGCAGGAAGTCATCTGAAACCAAAATATTAATAACCAACTGGGCAGACTCATGGATTCTAGCACAGTATGAACATCTGTTTAAAATACTTTTGGCTATTAGAAACAAAACAAAAACACAGAAATGGCTGCACACTGGATTTCAAGTGTCAAAGAAATACCTATTGTCTTCATGTAATTCAAAGATCCTGTATAATTACTGAGTCAACCCAAATATTTAGATATTGATAAAAGAGTTTCAGATAATGACTGAAACACTGGTGTTAAAGTATTTCAACGTTGCTATTAGACAGTTTTCCTTTCTTTACCTTTCAGTGTGTTTCCATTGAAAACGCTGCAGTCAGCAGCTGCCCCCTCCTCTGTTCACATGTGACCTGACTTAGGACAACAACAGGGGAAGAGGTGAGCCAATTCACTTCAAAGGGAGCACTTTAACACCACCAGCTGATCCTATCTAATTCATTCACTTTGACACCGGGCAGCTTTGGGACCCAGTTTATTACAGAGCTCAATACGAGTTAAACACGACTACTTTAACGTCGTGTGTCCATATGAATCGTTGTGTCAAACAAAGAGCAGACAGTGGCGCTGAGTTTCCAACAGGAACACTTTGTTCTGCTAACTGAGCAGCAGAGCTAAAGCTAGCCGGGGTTAGCTCACTGACAGTAAACACAGCTTCATCTTCAGACAGCAACTCTCTGCTACTGTTAGCCCGCGAACAATTATCTTGTTGTGTAAAAGATGAAGAACACAATGCTACAAAATCTGAACAAGTCTAAAGCCAGGACTTTAACAAAGAGAAGTGACATACCAGCAGCACTCAGTTTCATAACAGTGGCTGTACTGTGGGGCTGTTGCATAAACAGTGAAGCTGGCGAGTACAACCGGAAGGCGGGAGCATGCCCCTTCAAAATAAAGCACCAGTTTGTAGACAACTAGGGTGTTTTATGGATCATGCAGTGGGCCACGTCCTGCCACTGCTGTTTGAGTAAATATAATATTTAACAGAGCAGACAACACATGATTATGTAGGTGAATCTGTGTATCATTTATATGAATAAATATTTTATTTGGTAAAATAATATTTCTTACATTTTATTTATTTATTTTCTACTTTCTTTGTAGTGCTGTTTAACTGTAATTTGCAACGCATGGTCCAGTGTTTTTGTTTTGATTATGACCGGAAGTTGTCGTTACATTAACACAACAAAAGCACGTGTTTGTTTTCCCATTTTAACCCTGTTGTTCACCTACAGAGGACATAATCCGTATGCAATATCCTAAAACTTAACAATATACATTGTATGCACCAGCTCACAGACACAGTTGTTTTAAATATGCACAATAATTAACATTGTCCTCTGCTGTCAGTGTTTCTGATGATGTGACATATTCAACCTGCAGTTCACACTGTTGGTCACTGGGTGGTGATAATGAACACATTTCTACCATCTGTCAAATAAAGAGGAAGAAACTACACTCTGCTCTTCTGCATTCGCGTCCACCCAGGAAGGTAAGATTAAACTACAGTGTTTGGGTCCAAATTTAACACATTATTTTAATTGTTCAGGCTACTGTAATAATCTTACACGCTACAAAGCGCCGGCGGTGTTATTGTGTTACATAATAATCTGTGGGTTGCAGTCTTTCTGTCTGTGTTGAGCTTCAGGATGAACTGAAACTGAAGTTGTCAGTGAAGAGTCGGAACAGTTTACAACATTTAAGATAACTCAAGTAACTGTGATGGCTTTAGTTACTGTGTCATCCACCTGTGTGATAACGTTACTGTTCACTGGTTTACACCCAGAAATAATCTGTCATCCAGAAGTGACTCATTTGATTGTTGTCTTATCTTCACAGCTGTTTGCTTTACATCAGCTTTCAAACAGCTGTGTGATCTATTCAATATGTGTTAAAGGTAAAACAATCAGTAAACCCCACGCTGCTCCCTCAACACGTTTCACCTAGCTGGTGATGTCACTACAGGTCTTAAGACACCTGTAGTGACATCACAGATTGGGGGCGTGGTCAAAATCAGAGTTTTGTTGCCAGTTACAGCTATTGACAGTATATAAATATATGTATATTATTATTATTAGTTAACTCATAGGTTACATTCACACTGCAAACCTTAGTGCTCACCTCTCATTTATTGCTCAGATCTGTTTTGTTTTGTTTGGGTGTTCATATTGTTTTTTTAAATGTCGCTCATATCAGATTCCAGTGTGAACACGTCTCGGTGCCAAAGTGACCCACATGACAAATGTTCATCTATAGTGACCTAAAATTCAAATGACTTCTGATAGGACTGTTCACACGGATGTTACAATGAAAAAAAAATCAGATCTGTATCTGATTTGAATCACATGTGAACTTGTCCTAAATCAGAAGTGAAAAGATCAGATTACATGTAAACAGTTCACACTGTTATGATTCACATATGATTCATATATCGGTCACTTGTGCCTGCAGTGTGAACGTAACTATAGAGAACAGCAGCATTAATGTAACATTTTAATGGCACCTTCATCACAACTCTGAAATGTGTTGCTAGTAAACAAAAGAGGCCACATAACTGTCAATTGAAATATTACTATTACATCCTCCATTATATATTCTTTGATCAATATTCGGGGCTAATGTCCTGATACCAACACAGCTCTGCTCACACGCACACACACACACACACACACACACACACACACACACACACACACACACACACACACACACACACAGGTGTTTTACAGTTATTCTGATTAGACCTCTGTTCACCAAACTCATTGTGACATACAAAGCTGGGATTTGAGGATTTGGGGATTGAAGATAGTTTGTACACATCCAAACAGTTCTGAGAAGAGCTTTAATCTGGCAGTGAAATCACCTGTAATCACCTGTGTGGGTCGACTACGACTTTGTGAACATAAAAAGGTTAAATATGTGAGAATGAGTAAATGTGGATTAAAAGTGGTTTACGTTTGCTTTGCTTGAACACTTTCCATTATCACATTTCAAGAGTTATTTAATAATTAAATAATAATTACTAGTCAACACCTATGATTAAATTCAACAGTTTAACAAAAACAAAAAATAAACAAACATGAAGCGCAGGTTTGACTTGTTTGAAGTTGTTGGCCGACTTGTTATGAATAAATCAACAAAAGAACTTGTGCTTCCTCGCTCTAATCTCCGACTGTGTTTGTTCTTGGCGTGTCTGTTTGTGTTTGAGCGCTGGAGGGAGAGCTCATTCTTCCTGACCTGGACGATTTCAGATTCAGCTCTTTATAGTGTTTATAGTTGCTGTTTCTTTCCTGTGCATTTTGTTTCCTTAATAGAAATGTTAACAGTTGGTTTTGGTGTTTTTTATGTGAGGATTACAGAGCTGCAACAGTGTGAGTGAAGACTCCAATGACAACCCTCAGTGAGAGATGACGGACTCTGAGGTGTCTGTGCTGCTTCACTGTGCAGCCTGGAGCGGCCTTCTGGAGTCTCAAGTGCAAGTGGAGCTCTCTGAAAGGTTTGAACATGAATCAGACCTCAACCACAGACTTCTAATATTAATAATTGTACAATTATAAAACCTTTCTACTGAACACAGCGGCTCAAACATATAATAGTGATATTGGGACAGAAAGTAGTAGTTAAATCCTTTTTATCACCACAGACACTAGATTTAAGGTGTAGGTGCTATACTCTATATACAGTACAATATACAGTACCAACAAGTACAGATCCTACTAACAAGTATTGTCTGTGTATTTAGAGCTTGATCTATCTTATTCTTCTGTGCCATAGACCTCCATTCTTGACCAAAAACTATTATTATTATTATTGTTATGTCTATTATATAAAAAGACTTCAGTGAGCCACACAGTTGCAGCGGGGGACATGGTTCTTTATTACAGAGAATATCAGTGAAGTAGTTTATGTTGAGTCAATCCCACAAAACACCGTTCTGCTACCTTAAATACACAATAGAACATAATCCCCAATAAATGCAGTATTACTAATGTGATGAGCTGTTTTAGCCTTTAAACTTTAACTTTAAACTTTATATTTGTGATTCAGTTTTAAAGGTCCCCTCCAGACATGTTTGAAGACATATACACAAAAAGTCTGAATACTAATGTGTGTCTAATATGTTGTTTCTGCAATGAAATATAATTTACACATTAAATGAGGTAGAAGGAGTAGATAGAAGTAGTTTTTAAGGATTTTAAAGATACAGAATCTATTAATATGCCTAAGTTTTCCTGCTGGACACAAGATGTCTCCTACTTCACTGTAAAGTCCATTCTCAGTGTTCTTTCTCACCCTTGTATAAGTTTGTTTTACTTCCTCTCTCTCTTCCCAGATTTAACAGGCAGACGGATCCGACTCTGGAGCGTCAGATAGAGGAGGCGTGGACACAACGGGTGTCCAAGGAGCCGTGGCTTTTCAACGGGTCCAAATTCAGACTGCACTCTTTCTGCTTGGCCTCCCCTGCCGTTACTCCCAAACACCCACCCTGCACTCAATCCCCCCACGTCCCCGTCGTGGACCATACAGGAGAGGGTCAGGAAGGGGAGTTAAAGAGGAGGCAAAGAACGGAGGAAAATATGTGTAGCAGCGATTCTCTGCATCACACTGCTCAGAACTGTTTGGATGAAAGAGGCAGAAATCAGGCAGTAAACACAGATGAGCAGGAGACTGGGCCGCTCCTCACTCTGAGACTGGGCCTGACATGCTACAAAGACTACCTGGGGACAAACTGGTCGTGTGAGGTGGCAGAGCTCCGTCGGCGCGGAGAGGTGGAGTTCGGTGACGCCCTGGCGCTGCTGGCTCAGCCTCTGGGCGTGGGTGGTGTCCTGTGCACGGATGACAGTCAGGTGGTGTTGATCAGGAGGAGCCAGAGGGTGGCGGAGGCGGGGGGGCTCCTGGACATCCCCGGAGGTCATCCAGAGCCAAAGGTGAGGAAGAACCAAGTGGGGTAAAGTGTCACTAATGTGCTTGATGTGTTCCTTACACCATCGCTGCCCTCCTCAGGTGGTGTGTGAGCGTCTGGGCCAGGAGGTGCGTGAGGAGCAGATCAGTGTGGACATGATGCAGCAGAGGCCCGTCGTCTCAGAGCTGTTCTCGTCCGTGTGCGCTGAGATCAGGGACGAGGTGGGTTTCTCAAACCGCTGTGGACTCTTTAGTTCACGTCAAGTTGTTCAAGTGCTTTTTGATTTGTTGGTAAATCAGTTAACTCAAGTCCTGCTTTTTCACTCTTATATGAAACTATGGCTGCAATTAATTATACTTTTGTAATCAATATATTGAAAAAGATGATCTTTAGTGACTGCAGTTAAAACTTCGGCATAGAATATTATAACATCTTTCAAACGATTTAAGAAAGCCTTTTATTTAGTTAGTCCAGGTGAACATTGTTCTGAGCTCAGTCAACATTTAAACTCGACCAGCTGTTTAGCAAAGACTAAAATGTATATTGATATTCACTTTAGAAATTCTTTGGAAAACATTAGTGTTTAACTTTGTGACCTTTAATCTCTCTCCTCCTTCATCCCTGCTCCTCTCTGTCCATCCTCAGGTGAATATCCCTCTGAGCTCCCTCGGAGAGCCCGTCCTGATGGGGGTCGCTCTGAATCACACCAGCGCTGGCAGGCCGAGTGCTGAGTTCTATGTCAGGTGCTCAATATTACCTTTAGTTTGAACCCCTGAAATATTAACTGAAGGCTGTGAGCAAATGTATATGGACACAAACCTCTGCCAGTCAACACTAGTCATGGTGTTAGAAAAAAGGTTATTTTACAATGGGAAAAACCCCCATTAGTCACCTACATTAGCTCTCAAGCTGTCCTGTGACACAAGGTGTATTTTCTTTTTATGTGTCATGCTGAAATCTCTTCTCATAAAATAAATTCAAGGTCACTGGATCAGAGACAAAAGTGTCACTGTCCATTATAACAGTGTAGAATTCAATGTAAGAAACCTGGCTGAGACTGCAACATCAAGAGCTGCCATGATGATATTAAAAATGGGCCCATTAGGGACAGACAGCAGATATATTTGCTGTGATCTGAGATGAGGAGTACAAATTTCCCTAGGTTTGCTTTATAAAGATGTTATGTAGATGCAGTTATTTCTGTGTCCTCAGTTGCTCTTTGACGTCTGATGAAGTCAGAAAGTTGTACTGGAAAGGAGGAGCAGAGGCCAACGAGTCCACAGATATTGTCTTCCTCAGCAGAGCGGTGAGTAATGTATAGTTACAGATCTAGAACGAGCTTTCTTGTCTTGAGAAAGTTCAGTAGATCCCAAGATGTATATAAATGTGGGATTTAAGGTAAATATCTAATCACATCTAAAAGCACCAATATTGTTCTCCCTGAAATTTGTAGGATGTGTTGCAGCTGGACAGAAGCAGCCCTGTGTGGGCGGAGCTGTGTCCTTCAGCTAAAGGAGCCGTGCTGCTTTATCAGACAGTGAAGCCAGACGGAGAGCGAAGTCAGAGCTGATGACACAACAATCAGCTGATCAGAGGATGGATCCAGGCGATCAAATGTACAAACACTCCTTTAAAGGTTCAGGGATTTATTACTCTTTGACTTTAAGCACTCTCTGACCAATACTAGTGTTAGAACTGTGCAAAATACTGTATTTTTTTTATTATTTGTACACTGTGCAGTAAAAACATGATCAAATTTTAAAAAGTATTTTGAATAAAAATCCTAAAAAGTGACCTGGTTTTCATTGTTAAATGATTAGATACTACAACACTGATTATCTCTGATTGACCAAAGCAGCGAGTGCAACAAAATTAAGTGACATCAGTAGAATTATTGTCCTTGTAAACGCAGATAGTGCAGCAGCATCGGTCTCTTCTTGCTCCAGGTGTCGTCATCAGTAACCTTCATAACCAAAGTCTCTGTAGTAGCCCTGGTCCTGATAAGCCATGTTCCACTGAAATGTAAAAGCACAATGTGATTTAGTTTCATCTGTGAAAAACCACTTGAGTAAATATAAATATATTTATAAGTTTGTGATTTAATTGATAAGTAGTAGAGAAGGGGTAAGAATAAATAAGTGTATACTTCCTCCTACTCCTTTTCAAACAGATTTAATTTGTGTTTATGAAGATGTATTAATTGGGTTTGCGTACAGGATTATTGTTCACTTCATTTCTATGTTATTTTTTATTTGTTCGAAATGAATATAAAACAAACAAATAGCACGCTCAAGATCAGCTGAACTACATCTATAATGAAGAAGAAATTAAATGGTAATGTAATTTATGTCGTCAGGAGAGAGAACAGTTCACGTCCCATCTGCCTACAGTACTGACTAACTGACCTAATGTCCTCATAAAGTGCAGCTGAGCTAATGAGGTTATTGTTTGGTTTGTTTGTATGTTGAACAGGACTCCACAGCACTCACATATCTTGGTTGCTGCCTCCATGTCTGCATGTTGAATCTACTGTTCTTCCACCCTACAAAGACAACAATGAAATTAACACCCTAAAATATCAATATAATATAAAAGTCTCCCACAGTACAGCCCATCATTTCTCACACTGACCATGGAGTCCAGTCCACTGCATCCTGTGTGAGGGTGGAAGGCCGTGGGGGTGTGGTCTTTTCTTGTAAAATCTGGATTTCTTTTTGTCGTGTTTGGCTATGGGGGGCAGAAGTCTGCGAGCCTCCTCTTTATACTCCTGCAGGAGCGTCTGTACCTGATCCTGAGGCAGCCCGACATACTGCAGCTCCTCCAGCAGGTCGCTCTGCTGCTCCGGAAGACTGCAGCTGACTGGAGAGGAGGAGCAAAGTTTAAGTTGCGGAAGCTTGACAGAAATTATGTCCATGTCCACCTGTATGGGTCTCATTCATATTACTCTGCTGTCCCAGGTTGATTATAATTGTTAGAAGTGGCAGAGGGTTCAGTCTAGTGTGTATTTCCATACTGGAAGAACTGGTTCAAGACCAGTGGCTGGTTGCCAATGTCTCTTCTTTCAGAGAAGTCAAATACTATAAATTAAAATCACTTTTTACAATTAAACCCCAATTTCTTCCCTTGCCCCTTCCCCATCTTCCAAAAAATGTGAGCTAAAATATTATATTCCTCCTTTTGCTAGGACCCCACTCAAGGGCCACTGTTAAACCTCTGAATTAAATAACTAAATAATAAAAGTACACAATAAAGTTGTGTGTCTCCCAAACAGAGAATGATGTTTCAAATATAAATATTATTAGTTTCCACCTCTAACAGAAATGTGTTTTAATATCGACTGCCAACTCCTACACTGGCAGTGAGGTACTATTATTAATCACTGAGATGTAAGTCAGACCTTGGAGTTTAAGGAGGGCGGTCTCGGGGATCTGCTCTCCGTCACTCGTCTGGTGCAGAGACCGTCGTCTCTTCCACTCGTCAGCTGAGGGAAAGACCACCACCACTTTGCGCCTGAAGCCTGTAAACAGCTGCAGCTTGTAACGGCGTGCAGAGAAGAGGATGTTGCACTGGACAACAGAGAGAATATGGTAAGAGGAGGTGGAATACAATTTCCAAGTACTGTTGCGTCAGCGTTTCAGTGGATATTTAATTACAGTCCTATGACAAAAATGACTGATATTGATCTGAGACTGAAGTTGACATTTTGTCCAACATACTGTAATCATCAAGTGTTTTAAACACAATGAAGTCCTTACAATATCAGTATCCAACTGGAAATAATTCTGTGACAGTATGGTAATACATACAGGTAATTTAACAGGGGTTTAAATAATATACTATATATATATATATATATATATATATATACACACACTATACTAAAATATATATGTTTAGTAGTGAAGTTACCTGATCAAGGATATAGTTGCCATGCGTCTGAGCAGCCATCTTGATCAAATCAGTTAGACACTGAGATGCCTGCTGCAGCCTGCTGTCCCTCTGTCCACCACTCTATACACACACACACACACACACACACACACACACACACACACACACACACACACACACACCATTTTAGATCAGTTGTTCAGTCGTAAATTGAAAATCTCTGAATGTGAATATAAAACATGAGAGTGATGACTGAAGGTGTGACTGACAATCATACATGCGAGCAGCTCCTCTGTGCCCAACAGTCTGTACTGCTTCTCTGGATGCTGCTTCATGTGAGTCCTGGCCCAGTTGCTCTTCCCAGAACCAGGAAGACCAACCATCAACAACACCTGGAGGGAGAAAAGATTCAAATGTTTCATATCCTGTGAAAATAACCAGAAGAAGTTGTTTCTAGCCACTAACACAGGATGCATATCTCAAATACTATAAGATGGATTACCACTAAATGTTGTAGAGATATTCATAATCTCACTATCAGCAGTACTTTGGTCTATGATCAAATGCCTAAGAAAGCAATGACATGCCTATCTGAATGAGCTGTACTTTGTGTTAAGTACTGATTAGCAAATGTTAGCATGGTAAAGGTTACACCTGCTAAAGATCAGTGTGAGCTTAGCATTTAGCTCAAATCGATTCATTCGTAAGTAACATTTGTGAATTTCCAAAGGCAGTCTAAACATTCATGTATTCCTCAAATGTCTTTTTGACCAACATTTCTTTATCAACACAAGGAAGCATAAAAACAACTTGTGATAATAATTCTTCAATCAGCTTTTCCATCATACTCATTCAAATCCTTTCAATGGAAGCTACTGTCTGTCTCTCACCTCACACTGTGATCTGGAGGAAGGACCCAAAGTGGCGCGCACCCTCTGCCCAGCAGAAAGAGCTGCTAGTGGTGTGAACCCTGGAGGGCCGGGGTACCAGGGAGGAGCTGTGGGGTCCAGGTGGAATCTGACTGAACAGCTCTTACAGAGGACGTGAGGGAAGAGAGCCTGCGGCACACAGGCGCCAAGGAAAAAGGCCACCCCCATGAAACGCCCGTTCTTATGGAAAGAGAGCTCAACAGCGCTGTCTGTAGAGAAAGACTGTCGCACAAACACAAAAACTAAGATCTTCATGCCACAAGACAACAAGAACATAGTAAAGATTCAAAGGCTGAGGACAGAGGAAGACTTGAAAGTGTCACTCACAGCGTAACAGCCAATGATGTCCCCCTCTGAGAAAGGTTCTCCAAACTCTTCCTCCTTCCCACCTGACACTTTTTTACCGCGCCCATCAAAAGCAAAAGACAATTCATCTTCACCTGGTACGAGACAGACAGTAAAAATCTTATAAATGCATCTCCAGAAAGGGTGTGTCAGTTCAAATAAATAAACCTAATGATGAACCTAATCCTTACCCAGCAGTAGGGAGCTGTTGGCCAATGACCAGCCTACTCTCAGACCGTAAGGATCCATGTCTCTCGTCTCCTCCAGCTGCGTGGTCAACAGCTTCCTCTCCAGCCTCACCTCAAAGCCCACACAGCCCTGCAGCACCCCATGGGTGAGCCTGCAGCCCGACCACAGCGAGGGGAATCGAGCCCAGAACCGAGGCTGACCGCACGCACAGTCAGGAGCCACCTCAAAGTGGAGGTGGCTGTCATCTGTGTAACAGTAAGGAAAGGGATTCAACAACGCCTCTGCACTGCTCTTATGACTACCCTTATCTCAAGAAACTGCTTCTTCTGGGACTATTTTCTTTACAAAATGAACTAATCATAGAATAAAATACAAACTAGATGAGGTTTGTTACATGTTCCTGCACCAGAGCGGTGATGAGTGTTGTTTAAAGACTTACATGGATTTATTCTGACTTTATCTCCATCTTCCTCCTCTGTCTCCTCTCTGTCCGCTGGAGGTTGTGGTGATTTGGCTCTGGTTGAGAGGAGATAGACAGGCATGTACATTAACAACCCTTTTTTATGAAATCTAATTTTCCTTAAGAGATTCTAAAAGACCAAGTTTAGGATTATTTCAATATTTGTTCAATTCAAACCTGTTTCTACCTTCTTCTTCTTCTGTTCTGAAAGTAGTGGTGCTAAGAGATGTACAATATATAAAGTCAATTAAACCTAATGGAAAGTTTTTTTTATTAGTAAGACATATGCAATAGAAACACCTATCTATCTATCATGTAGATTTATGTCTGTTAAATAACCTATTACCCAGTTTAACAGGGTTAAGTCTGGTGAGACGCTGTGGGTAAAACATTACTATGGATATTAACAAGTTATGGGAAAGGCGTGAAAATACGTATTTATTTGTTAAATATTCTATTTATAGCTTCACCCTCACAGACATATATACACTTCTATAACATAAAGCCCCTCATAAAGTCCATACGGACAGTGAAATACCTGTTACAAGTATAATCCTGGTCTAATTTATACTTTAAGAGCATTTTTTTTTGACTGAACCTGAAGCCTTTAAGCGTCTTCAGCTCACCTGTGAAAACAATAATTGATCCTACATTACCTTTTGTATCGTATCTCCTCTTTGAACTCATAGAAAGCTCTTCCTCTGCACAGCTCCTCTGCTGACTGAGCTCTCACATCCTCTCCGGGACGCTGCGCACCTCCCTGCTGCCTCTCGACCTCCTCCTCCTCCTCCTCCTCCTCCTCTCGGTGGTCGGGCACACACTCTGAACCCAGCCCAGGGGGTCGTTGCGGTGCTGGCAGCCCGCTGTCTGTCTGTGTGGCGGAGTCTGTGAACGCTCTGGTGCGGTGGTCTAGTTCCCACCGCGCAGTAACACCAGCTACTGTCGGCGGTGAAGAGGCCGGAGCGCGGACGTCCACCACAGTGTCCGCCGGTTCCGAAGGTGTCGGTGAGGAGGAGTCGTTTTGTAGTTTTATGTCTTCCTCGCCGTGTCCTCCGGGTAGTCCAGCCTCTAAAGCAGACCACAACCTGCCCACCAGCTCAGCCTTCAGCCCCCGGACGTCCAACCCGAGGTCTGTAAGTCTGCACCGCAGCTCGGGCACTTTTAACTTCTTAATGTCCGTTAGCTTCATTGTTACCCTGGATATACTGTTGTTGTTGTTGTTGTTGTTGTTGTTGTTGTTGTTGTGAGCTTCTTTAGGTAAAAAAAACAAAAACAGACTTAAAGTAAACTGCTCAGCCGTTTGGATCAAAACATCGGTTCAATATGGAGCCCTGGTCTGTGATTGGCTCTCTACTTCTTCTGTGTTTTAATTATCGGCAGACTGGACACTCGCAGGAGTCTTTACTGCCATCAGCGGTTAGAAATGGTACTACACCCAGTGTTAACATGAATTATCCACTCCAGTACAGTAACTTAACCATTGTACAATAATGACATCTATTGCATCTGAAAACTAGTTATTATTTATTTATTTCTTGTTGAAATAAAAGCATAAATACAATCATTCAAACACATCTACCCATGCTGCCCATACTGTATATAGTGTCATATCCACATACCTCATGTGCATAAAGAAACCTGCACGTAAATATTTATTTCAGCATCCTCTGCACCATCTACTGTCTACAAATGTTATTGTTTTTTGTTTGTTTACATATATATATGTGTATGTCAGTTGAGCTTGTTGTCCTGTTTATTTATTCTTAGTCTGTGTACATTTTGAACATAAAATCGGAGTCAGTTTCTTTGTATGTGTGCACATACCTGGCCAATGAAAGTGATTCTGATTGATCGGGTTTACCCACTTCACTAATCCTCATCCTTCAATAGTTTTCTACCAGCTGACTTTTCTTTCCTAGGATGGCGAAGGCATGACATAGTTATCTAATTTTACTTTACTCAAAATGCAGAATTACTGTCTGTAGTTGTCTCACCCTTTAGTCTGTGGGCATGTATTGATTCTTCAGTGGCTAATGTAAAGTTCATAATGATCCTTGCTGCCTGAAGACTAGCTGTAGGAGTTCAGTGACAATATGTAAATACTATTGGCCCAGTTATGGGCAACTTAAATATGGAGGAGTAATCTTACTGTTTACTGTATTCAGTATCTATTTCCACCCTTGTTATGATATGAATGTAGTTTTTAGTATGTAGTAAGTTGAGACATAATTTTTTCAGAATGAGAAACTTTTTATTTGACAAACAAGACAAATGCAAAAAAACCATAAATGCACACAAACAGGTAAAAGGTAAAAAGCAAGACATTGTCAGTCATAATACAAAATACATTTGATATATTACATTTCAAGTTACTGTCTCGTCTCTCTTTTCTTCAGATTTCTTGCTCCACTGTCAGTGTGTCATTACAACCACTCGGGTCAGTGATAACAGGAGAGAAGTTCAGAAACAACTTTGAATCATCTGTTTTAAAACCTCAACAATGTTAGTCATTTCTCTCCTGTTCACTGACCCTTATGAGCTCCACACAAATCTCTCTCAGTGAGAAAACAAATCACATATTGCAGATCCTTGTAGTTTACCTTCTAATTATTCTCTACAAGTATCATTTGAGAGGATTTGACGCTTCATTAACGCCCGGAGCGGCCGTGTCCACACAAACAGCATCATAACAACAATCGTCACAGGAAGAGAGAAACGTCAGCACTGATTTTTCCGTTACACAACAGAACATTCAGGTCATGCTCACACAGTGAGCCTGTTTTTCTCGTACATGGTGGCTCAGTCTCACTCTCACCACATGCTTCACAATAAAAGCACCTCAGTGCTACATCTGAATATTACACTCAGAGCAGTCAACACAAATGTATTCTCCCTGATGAGGACACAACAGTGCAAAATGTGGGACTCCAGCTGAAATGTAAACAAACATGCATATTAAATATATCCAAAATAGACTGGAGGAAAAACACCATCTGGTTGCTTCTAGCTTCTAAATAACGCTGTGGTTATTAGATCACTGAATACATCTGCTTCAACTATTCAAATGAGTGTTTTCTTCTGTAAAATCCCTTTTGTCCCAAGACAGAGTTGAGGTTAGTCCCAGTACGTGCTCGTTGTTACATTGGAGTCACAGAACTACGGCTCCATTTTTCTGAAAAATAAATTCCTGCACACCTTCGAATTTACATTTACATCCATTTACAACAAACTTAGAGCAACTCTGAGAATCCTTCATATAGATGAATATTAATATAATTAATAATATTCAGTCTGCTGCATGATTTAAAAAAAATGTTAACCAGTTTTCTAAGAGAAAATGTATCTGAAAATTACATATGGGGTTAATTTTTACACCATAAATCTTTATTAACAGTTATATCTGTCCATAATGAGTTATTACTATTATTTTTCAATTTCATGTACAATAGTGCGTATGTATATTCTTCTTGTGTAATGCTGCATTCACTGTCAGCAGAACAGGAAGAACAGAAAAACCTTCAAACTTCACACATTATTCTAAGATAAATTAGCTTCTTCTTGGATCCTTTTAAATAAGCAGAATCTATTGTTCTGGTGTTATTATCGGTTGTCGTTTACAACTGCCAGCGATGGAGGCTTTGCAGCTATTTTGCCAACAGTTTGTTGACGCCTGTATTTCTTTTTTACCGTCACTGTCAGCATTTCTAAATATATGTCTGTTTTTAAACATAAACTAGTTTTTATCATTTAGAACAATAGATGCTTAGTTCTGTGACTTAAATGTAATACATTTGTAAGAGGCACAAACTGGGGCTGCGTTATGGTGGTTGGCCCAGAAATTATATCATTATATAATACAGCCTGACTGATACTGGCAATATAATGTTTGAGATTTTAAAAATCTGAATATATCTGCAGATATTTTGTACTATGAAGAAGTAACAGCCAGATTCTTTGGTTCGTAAAGAAGTGTGACTTATTTCAGATTGAACAGTATAAAACTATCAGTGCTCTCTGGAGAACAAACTATATAACGGAGACACTGTTTATACATGACCTGAAACATATCTTTGGCAATTGCATACTGACATTTCTTGTTACTTATTTGCTTTACTGGCTTTATCAATCAGGCTCTATTGTATAAGATGATTAAATAATGAATTATATATATATATATATATAAAAGCTTGTCCTAAACCACACTTACATATTCTACATGCAGTAGGCAGACGTAGTTTTAAAAATAAGTTGAGACAGTGGAAGTGAGTGTACCATCTGATATCAGCCCCTCATACAGTCTCAGTTAGACCAGCAGGGTGGGTGTTGCTGGAGCAGGTGAGGGAGAGCCGCTGTCACATGGGCTGTGTCCCAGCAGCAGCTCCTTCTCTCGGGGACGACACGGCACGTTGATGTGCTGGCTGTGAGAGTGGTAGAGCCGCAGGAAAGCCAGGATGGACTGAGCCAGCCATAGAGCTGTCACACACCACAGAGACACCTGAGGGCACAGGGTGTGGTTGATTAAAGCCCCCCTCCACTCAAAAATATGTTTTTCTTCTTGTTCCCACAGTGGGATGTTTGAGCTTCACTGAGCAAACTTTGGAAAAGAATAAAATCTGCATATTCATAGATAATGTAATTTTATGTATTGATTTTAATGAGGAAATCAGACACACTGTTACTATTATTGTTGTTCCAAGCAGACTATTTGTCTTAATACATGTGTAGAAGGGATCTTTAAGCTTACGGCCACACTTGAGAATATCAGAATAAACTGAAGAACAATGTGCACATTAAGCAAAGTGTGTGTGTGTGTGTGTGTGTGTGTGTAGAGTCGTGGACAGCAGGCCTCTCAGTGGGGGATTAAGAATGAGGATGTCATGTTTCTTTGCAAGAGCCAGAAAAGTCTCTACATGGAAAAGGAAAGAAATAATAACTCCTATATTAACAACAGCTACAACAGCTTCCACGTCAGCTGAAAATGACGTTAGGAAGGAAACGTTGCTGCTAATTATCACCCCCCCCACACACACAAACACACACACTATAAAATTAACTTACAGTGTTAGACTGATGTGAAGCGAAATGTGAATTCAGTCTGATAATCAGGATGGATCAGATCAGCTGTAGCTAATTACCGTTCAATTCAATAAGGGCTGAAATGAAAAGTGTGTCTGTTCTCTGGTTAATGTGCTCTCTGCAGCCCGCGTTCAGTCTCAACAGATTGTGAGTGAACACATCGTTACGTAACACCACTGCACACCAGTGGACTGTGTGATTGTGCAGTTTAACAGAGCCACAGGGTGCCGACTCTTCACCTCAAGTTATTTTAAGACTCTCCCTGTTAAACTTCATACCAGTTCTGGTGAAGTACTTCAGGTTACAGCCGTTAACTGAATGTGTTAAACGTAATAAAAAAAACACAAAACTAGCTAATTAATCTCAAAAAGGCTCCAAACCCTCATGTTGTAAGAATAAACCTGCTAGCTGTGTGTTTTTTTTTATATATGAATATTGAGCAGCTGGTTTCAGAAAACTGTTGCCCGTAGCAACATCTGAGCGCTCCTACCTGTGCCAGTCCGAGCTCTGTGTAGAAAGAGGAGGTGTCCACATCCAGGTAAAGAGGAACAGACTGGGACTCTGCACAGCTAAACACAAACAAACAAACATGAAGGGGTGAGGAAGGATCCACAACAACACTTTTATCAGTCCAACATCAACACTGGATCAAAAGATGTGAAGAAGTATCACAAAGTTGGGCCAAATGTATCGATCATCAGTTATGTTTCCATACTGTTTATATCATGGCACCCATCCTTTTACTATCTGTGGTTGTATTATGTCATTGTGGATAACATCAGCTATATAATTTGCTGGATTATCCCAAAACAAACAGTTACTTTACTATATCAGAATATAAAAATATCAACGTGTATTTAAAATGACATAATTCATTCATTTAGTATCGCTCACTGTAACATACTGGTTAAGTGGATTGGTACCAGACGTTATATCCAAATGTTTCAGTGTTTATCCCACCAGTTTAATATGAGAATTGTTTATTTATTAACTACAGGTGGATCAGTGTGTATAGCTGTAGAGTTTTTGTAAGTTTAAGGATTGTTTGTTTAAACAACCGAACCAAACATCATAATTACAGTAACAGGAATCACATCAATAACAGCTAAAATAACCATTACAAATGCAACATATAACTCCTACAACAAACACCAGCACACAGGAGGTCCCACCATAGGAGTTCATTCTCAAACAGTGTACCTGTACGGCCGTGTGTTGTCGTCAGTCACGGTGTCGCACCAGGAGACCAACCCCAGA